TGAGAGCCCAAATACTAATTCCCTTTCATCATGAGATCCATGAGAGCTTATTGGCACAAATTTGATGAGAGATCTGAGAGATCAGAGCCATGCCAATTGGATCAAAGCATATTAGGGCTTGGAGGAATGGGCAATGGAGGCTCTATGTGGTGAGAGTGGATGCCTATTCTGGATGGACAGATTGGTGGCCTGTTGAGGATTGGTATGATTTGATGGCCTATGACACCCAATCTGACAGAGATTGGCACATTGCCAATGAGTATAGGGAGATGGGCCTTCCAATATGGAGGAGGAGGAGGAGATGAGACTGGAGCATGCATTGGAAAATTGGAATGAAAGGGAATTAGTATTTGGAAGAATTGAGATGAAAGGGAATTAGTATTTGGAAGAATTGTAGTGAAAGTGAATTAGTATTTGGAAGAATTGGAAGGAAAGGGAATTAGTATTTGGAAGAATTGAAATGAAAGGGAATTAGTATTTGGAAGGGTTGGGATGAAAGGGAATTAGTATTTGGAAGAATTGGAATGAAAGGGATGATGGGGACATCAGAACCTGCTGAGCACACCATTGGTTCCATGATTCATGGGCATATTTTGGCACAAGCTATTAGGTATTGGTGGGTATTGAGCCATGGTGCACTCAGCAGAGGAGATGACCAATGAGCTGTTGAGCTTGGGTGGTATCATGAGAAGCCATGCACTGGGCAATGTATGGGTGATCATTGAGGGTATGCTGGGATTGTCACAGCATGACTACATGTATGTGTATGTGGACAAGAATGATGGGATGAAGAAGAGATTCTTTATGAGTTTGGGGCATGATGGTGATCAACCTGCAGCATCAGATCATTGGTGTATCTATGGTTGGATCATTCCATGGGTTCCATCAGGTTCTTTGGAGAGATTCCCCAGGTGGGGGGATATGGACTACAGGCCTGAAGAGCCATTGGGTGAGAGCATTGGGGATGAGCAGGATTGGTCCAATGGAACCTATGGGATAGGATGTGGATTCACCAATGCTGGCAGCATGGCATACTATGAGCCTAAGAATGGGGGTGAGATCCAGCATGGGCATGAGGAACTCAGTTTCACAACATGAGGAACCCCCCCCATTCCATAGAGAATGTGGGGTGATAAGCATAAATGTGATTGAAAAAACAATGCTGATGGGCAAGGGTAGGGTTGGATCCATGGGATGTTTTTTCCAATGAGACTTAACTATGGGGTAGTTGAACTGATGAGGTTTGCATAGGAACCCACATGAGAACTTGTGGATGAGTGTTCATGTTAGATTGACCCATGGGTTGTTTTTCCAAGGGAGCTTTTGGGAGAGGATGTGAAATGATGAGATTTGCATGGGAACCCACATGAGCAGTGATAAGGTTTGCCAATGAGGTGATTGCAAGGCTGTTGTTGGATGAGTCTTGCTGCTAGATTGGCTCATCAGCTTATCAGCAATCAGCAGCATCAGCTACTATCAGCTCATCAGAATGATGACGCATGAGATCATCATGATTGTGCTGGCACCAGTCCTCATTGGACTGATTGGGCTGCTGGTGTATTTGGCTATGAGCATGAGGAGCTGGGGGTATGAGGAAATATATAAGTTCATTGATTAATGAATTAGTCATCAATAGTAGTATTAGTGTTTGAGCTTGGATTTATTTGCCCTGGGCAGGACATGGGTGGAGACCATCAGTGGGCAGATGGGTGCCATGTGTGGCAACATGGGTTCTATTGAGCGCAGAATGGATGGGCAAGGTGGGCTGATCAGAGATTCTTACATGAATACATTAATACTTTTTGTTTTTGTATATGTATATATGTAGAGACATGTATATATAGAGTTCTATTTAATTATAGAGTGGGTTCATCTTAGGACAGGATCAGGCATTTGTCACAGCGATTCCAAGATCTGAGAGGATGGGTACTTGTCAGATGCTTGGCCTGATCCTGGGTATGATTTTTATTGCTTATTTGATTTGCCATTGATTTTTGGATTGCCTATTTGATTTGTCATTGATTTTATTACAGATGAGATGCAAGTAATTAGCTGAAGCCATGGCTGTTAGATGTATTTGATCATTTGGTCAGCTGAGATTGGGATGATGAGAAGACATGCACTATGGATCAAAGATTGGAATTGATGCTGCAGTGGATGCTCTATGAGAAGGATGAGGTTACTAGCATGAAAATGATTGGTTAAATTATAAGGTTTTTTATTGGTTGAACTGTGTGAATGAACTATGTGTTCTTTAAAGAACTATTTGATCAATTGGACTGAGGCCAAATCCCTATGGAGGCCAATTTGCACATTGGCAATGATGAGCATCATGCGCACATTGGTACAGATGACCAGATGCAGGGATGTGAAGAAATGCACCTCAGATGGATTGGAGGCAACTTTGCTGATGAGTGTAATTATTCTATTTGAATTGTATACTTAGTTTTTATTGGGTATTGATCTGAGGTGCGATATATTCAGCATTCAATGATGGGCAGATCAGTGACATCAACATTTTGCTGGATGAGTACATGAGCAATGTCAAGGCAGCATTCCTGCAACTTGGATGAGGCAGCAATATTTTTATGTCTTCTTGATGAGTGTATTGGTAGTGGTAGTATTTTTAATTGAACATTAGTTGTATCACATCTCAGGACTGGCATATTCAAGCCATTGGCCCCAGATGATGAGGCATGGGAGGCATTCTGGGATGAGAACAATCAGTGTGGCATCCTGGCTGTGCATAGATAAGGCTCTTTTGGGTTGATTAGGTTAGACATAAGTAATTAGTTACTTTGTCAATACCTCACTAGGTGGTATTAGAGTTCTTGTGCTGAGGATGGATCTATTGGATGCAGATCGATTATGAGGGCATGGGGCATGTGAGCCATGATGACCTGGAAAAGGTGATGAGACTTGGTATGATTAGAACTATTGTTTTATTGCCATAGATTAGTTTTATATCATTAATGGTTTTGAGTAATGGTGAGTAATTAATAGGGAAGATCATGAGACTTTCAATGAGATGTCATCTTTTTCAATAAGTTCAATAGATTCCATTTGGTCATTACATTACATTATGGAGCTATGTGCCATCTCAGGAGCCAGATGCATAAGAAAGATGAGTTCATCAGGGTCTATGAGAAGATGGTCCAGAAGATGGCCACCCTTAAGGGATCACCTGGATCAGCCTGGTGATGAGCCTATGGGCTTTTGGCTGAGGAATGAGATTGGCATGCTAGAATGAGGTAGGTGCGCTTATACCATGAATGGGTGAATCACATATAATTGACTGTATCAGTCCATCACCTCTATGATTAATTAGGCATGAGGTTGTTTGTCTATTTGC